CAACAGAGAACAATGCCTAATGTCAAGATAGAGTCAGGATACTATTGGATACTTTTTATTTATTTTATTTATTTATTTATACTTTTTATTTATTTATTTATTGGATACTATTAATTTAGGCTTAAATAGAGACTGGGAGTGGCTAAGTCATTATGCAAGGTAGCCTGTTTCCTCTTGTTTTTTCCTACTCCCCCCCCCCCCGATGTTCTGGTTTAACTTGGAATTAAACTTGGAGAGTGGTCAGTTTAGATGAGCTATTACCAGCAGGAGAGTGAGTTTGTGTGTGTATGTGAGAAAACCTGGATCTATGCAGGAAATAGCCCGACTTGATTATGTAAAGAGTTGTCACTTTGGATGGGCTAGCACCAGCAGGAGAGTGAATTTGTGTGGGGGGGTGGAGGGTGAGAAAACCTGGATTTGTGCTGGAAATGGCCCACCTGTTGATCACTTTAGATAAGCTATTACCAGCAGGACAGTGGGGTGGGAGGAGGTATTGTTTCATATTCTCTGTGTGTATATAAAGTCTGCTGCAGTTTCCACGGTATACATCTGATGAAGTGAGCTGTAGCTCACGAAAGCTCATGCTCAAATAAATTGGTTAGTCTCTAAGGTGCCACAAGTACTCCTTTTCTTTTTGCAAATACAGACTAACACGGCTGTTCCTCTGAAACCAGTCAGGACAGAGAATATCAATAACAAGAGGAAAGCAATGACGGAAAACTTTGTAGGTGTTATGAGTGGGCTAGCCCATACATTTGTGTGAGTAAATCTGTTCTTACTACTACATGTAAGATTCTGGGTTTTGGAATTTAAAAAATCTCCATGTTTGCAGATAATACTGGAATTGGAGACAAAGCCAACATTTAGGAACAAGGCAGCTAGATCCCAAAGTATTGGGATAGTTTAGGTGATTGAGCGGAAGAAAAATGTTCGGAACAGGACCTCAGTTATGGTGCAGGAATCATTGCCGGTATCATCCCAAAGCAGTGCTCCAGTGACAAAGGGAAATAAGATCCTAGCAAAGAGATAGACACATTAGCTTTCATATTTAAAATGTTTGTGGCTGATGAATTTTCAAAGTCCATTTGTCCATCGCAGGCTCTCAGAGTAATCTCTTCTAATGTTTCCTTCCAGCTCTAATCTTTTGTAATCAACGATTCACAGACCACAGTTCTGCTCCTCTGCTTCCAGGATTAGCTGCAGTATTTCCTTACCAACCAAGGATTTCAAAACTAATACTCTCTCTTCGTTGCATAGCATATGATAACGATCTCCATTTAGATATTGAAAATACAACATGGTCCGCTTAATTATTGTTGTTTATACAGAACAGAGCACTGTGTGCAGCCAGAATGACTGGAACTGAGGTTTTAGCCTTGTCTACCCAACTTTTCATCACTGATCACAACTGTAATTTTAGTATGTATTCAGATCTGCTATCAATAAATCATTCTTGCTGCACATGAATCTGTCCTAAGAGAAGGCTGAGTCTGTGAAGTTCTATTGCTCTTATGCACTAATCTCAAGGTACTTGCAGTTTGACTCCCTCTCTTCATAAAAGCCATTGAACTTCAGTGGAATGTGTCCTATCTTTGAATATTTTGTGTGCACATGTGTTTGGGGAGGAGAGGACACTACACCCCTTTCTGAAGGGCAAGCTGGAAGTACCAATGAATGTTCATCTCTCTTTCAGAACTAGAAATCAGAGGCAGATACAGGTATTGAAGGCCAGGATTGCCCCTTACCCTTCTATCTGCTGTCTTGCCTGCAGATACAACTGGGAATCTTGCAAAGAATGACTGCAGAATTTATCCCTGAAGCCTCCGTCTAGTAGTCTGTGCTTCCTCTCTTTATATTAACCACCTAACTCATTCTAAAGTTGGGACTCATCTGTAATTGGGCCTGGCCCATGCTTCAGTTGCAACAACATGGATTAATTAGCCTGGCAGACCCACATTAACCATTTCATTAACTGTGGGGGGCATATACCCCATCACAATATGAAAAAAAGAGCAAAATTCCCCTAAGAAAGGTTTCTTGACTCCTAAGATTAACAATTCTACAATAAAGAAATGTTGTAATCTGTGATGTCCCTGAGTGATACTTTCATTAATTTCCAACTCCCTGTCTAGTCAGTATCTCATACTTACACTACTCAGCCTTATTATTTATGCTGATTCCTTACAATGAGAATATAATTATATCTATTAAAAACGGGCAATTACATGTTTCAATGGATTAGAAACACAAGAATTCCTAGACTGGATCAGACTGGGGTCCATGTAGTCCAGTCCCATCTCTGCCAGTGACCAACACCAAATGTTACAGAGAAATGTGCAAGAACTCATGGTTTGTGTGTATAAAAAGATCTTCTGTACTTTCCACAGTATGCATCCGATGAAGTGAGCTGTAGCTCACGAAAGCTTATGCTCAAATAAATTGGTTAGTCTCTAAGGTGCCACAAGTACTCCTTTTCTTTTTGCGAATACAGACTAACACAGCTGTTACTCTGAAACCTGTTACTTAGTGGGTAATTAGGGAGAAATCTGCCCATAGGTGAAGCTTCTTCCTAATCCACGTTAGTAAATCAAAAGGAAGTATATCTAATGCAGAAGTCAAGCTGTGGAACTCTTTGCCAGAGGATGTTGTGAAGGCCAAGAATATAACAGGGTTCAAAAAAGAACTAGATAAATTCATGGGAGGCTAGGTCCATAAATGGCCTTTAGCCACGATGGGCGAGGATGCAAAACCATGCTCTGAAGTGTCCCTAGCCTCTGTTTGCCAGAAGCTGGGAATGTGCAACACAGGATGGATCACTTGATGATTACCTGTTCTGCTCATTCCCTTTGAAGCACCTGGCATTGGCCACTGTCAGAAGACAGGATGCTGGGCCAGATGGACTATTGGTCTGACCCAGTATGGCTGTTCTTAACCCGTGTAATGCAACTGTGGATGTATTCTGTATCCATATAATTGTTTATCCTGCTAAGATCTTGGTTTCAATGACATCTTGTGGCATTAAGTTCTACAAATTATTTGTACAATGTGTAAACAAATTTCTCTTTAATTTTGTTGCCTTTTAACAAACTAAAAAACAAGCTGTTGAACAATGGAAAGTGGGTGTCTTAGAGCTTTGGAAGCACTCTATGCCTTTCCATCTGTGACAATTTAGGCATGCTCCATTTTTAGGTTACCTATGCCCCATGAACTATTCTGAACTGAAATGCAAATACTAACATTTATTTGAAAAACTTTGTCTACAAAATAATATAATGGTAGGAAACTTACATTACTGTCTCTGTAAAATAAAAACACCAACTTTTATTCAAATTGGGTTTTATTATAAAATAAGTAACTTTCCAAACTTGTCTTCAATCTGCTTTGCTGAATGTAGTTGTTAACAAACATAGCAAAATACGTTTTGCTTTGGCCATTCTGGATTTCATGTGTTTGTTTCAACTGGACTGCTGTTCACAAGTTGTTTTAATTACAATCTGTTATGTGAGTTTTCAAGAGACATTGTGAGAGTCAAAATTTGCCCGTCATTTTGTAGCATGTCAGCCCTTTATCTATCCAAATCTATCCAGGTAAGATTTTTTGCCACTGCTTTTCAGGTGCCACAGTTTGACCTAAACTACCTGGGAAAACAAAAGGTCCTCTTTTCCACTTGTACTGTGAATGCAAAATGGCACGTTAATGATTTACCTACCTGTGAGTGTTGCCAAAACAATTATTACGTTCAGTCAGTTAATAGGCTTGAGGAGATTTAGTACTTTATTCTAGCACAGGTAAGGGATGTTCTCGTAAATCAGGAAGGGGATTCTACTGGTAAGTTCATTTTTCCTTTTCTTTTGCATCCAAGATATTAATAGTGCTACTGTGAGAGAGTGAGCCAAGAGCAGTGGCCTTTTTGCAGGAAAGTTTTTCAGAATGAAAAGGGCTGATTTAGTTCCCGAATCCAAGGTAGATATATGGATGAAACCTGCCCCCAAAAAGACTTCATGCTCTGTGATAAACTTGTGTTTCTCCCAGAGAGCTAGCATATGAGATGGATAAAGAGAAGAAAACAGGCCTTGAAAACAGGACAATCACTCTGGGGAAAAACCTACCACCACTGACACTGTCCTAAACCAAGAGTTGTTCCTTTGGCTTCAGGATCAGAGACAGCAGAACTTAGCCCAATAAGAGAACATGCAGTCAAACCTGCTTTTTACTTCCAGCCTACAAGCACCAGCTCACCTAACGATTCCGAGATTGATTTTTTTATATTAAATATAATTTATTCCCATCTTAAAGCCCCTTCATGCTATCAATGGTGTAAAGTGATCTTAATGTAAATGAGAATCAGGATTTTCATCTCTGCATCTTCTTCAGAGTAACATAGGAGTGAAAGATGGAAAAGACATTGCAGATCATCAAATTCACATCCTTCCTCAATTCTGAATTTTTACTGTTTATCTCCAAGAAACGCGAATCCAAAGACACAGGCGATTAGAGACAAAGAGAAAGCCGAGAAATCTGCTTCAGCTGAAGAAATGGGCAGTCAAGAGTTGGGTAGAATACTGACACTCACAGGAAGGAAAGAGCCCCTGGAGTATAGGGATAATGGAGCTTCACTTTTCCTGGGTCTTGTTTTATTACTTTCATTTAATTCCTGTACCTTAATTTTTTTTTTTTTTTTTTTTTAGTCCTTTTGTATTCAGAAGTTGCATTGAGTATTATCTTTGTTCTGGGTTTAATTTGTCCTTTACTGTAACTATAGCTTTCAGAGTAGCAGCCGTGTTAGTCTGTATTCACAAAAAGAAAAGGAGTACTTGTGGCACCTTAGAGACTAACCAATTTATTTGAGCATAAGCTTTCGTGAGCTACAGCTCAATGCATCCAATGAAGTGAGCTGTAGCTCACAAAAGCTTATGCTCAAATAAATTTGTTAGTCTCTAAGGTGCCACAAGTACTCCTTTGTAACTATAGTGCATGTCTGACAGGTTTTCTAAAACTCACTATTTCTGATCAGAGAATGGTATTGCTATTAGCAAGAAGATTTAAACACCTACACCACTTCTGAGGGAAAACATTTGAAGAGATTGCTACATATATTCTTTACAAGAGTCTAAAATTGTCTCTAGGTCTGCAAAAGCTGCTTTTTAAAACTATTGTGAAATTAAGTTATTGGTAACTGCTAGCATGACACACACACCTCCCTGTAATGTGACCTTGCTAGATTCATGAACAGGTGAACCCAACCCTAGTGCATTTATCTCTGACTAATCGCAAAACTCCACTGCAACTCCACTGGTTACCATAGAGACATCTCAGTGTTTCACCCTGCCCTCAATGGAGTGTATTCCAGAATCTGAATAAACAGGAACATGCTACGACAGTGTATCTGTTACTCGGAACTACCTGCAGGTACAAGTGCCACCGTGTTTCATAGGTTAGGTGAGTTCTGAAAGTACTATTTTGATATAATTTGTTCTGATTTGATATTTCCATATGGCATTTAAAATTTCCACTTATTTTGAGTACTAAAGCACAGAATACAAAGTGTGTGGAATGTAACTGCGTCATTAATGTCAGCTCACAGCTACAACTCACCCGGAAATACTTGGACACGCTTGGTTTGCACTGTAGTTTTAAGTTCCGAAAGTATTTGATATTTCACTTGGAGTCTGTAAATTTGGGGTTTCTTTGCAGTTATTAAGACAACTTGTTGGTTTGACTTACAATGTGTAGTGTTGTGTCAGGTACTGTATCAACTCTACTTTATTCTATTGTTTGACAAAACCAAAACAAACAACTGATATCTAAATCCCAAAATACTGGCATTCTGGGCTAAAGCAATAAAAACAAGCTAATAATTTTGAAATAATAGGTAATATTCCAATTTTCCATGCTTAAAAAAAGGCTTATAGGTGATAATAGAAACTACAGTGATTGACATTTAAATATTTTAACAGGAACTCATGGTAAACACAGAAACTAGCTGAGTACTGCAAACAATTTTCCATTAATATTCATTCATACTTGTAACAAAATTGGCTTCAGCTGTGTTTTCCTTCAAACCTCCCTCCCTCCACCCCCCCAGCTTGTTTTCTGCAAATCTAGAAAATAAGTTCACTGGTAACAGTGAATATTACTGACAAGAACATTTGCAGAAACCGTAAATTTTAAGTGAATATTGCAGAATATTTGCTTTAACTTCACACCTTAATTCATTTTAACTTTACTACCTTAATTCATATTTACTTTCCTGAGTGTCCCTGTGTAGATAAGCAAGCCCTCAAATCCCAAGTAATAAAGCCCAGCTAATGTCACAGCTATCACCCAAACCTCCTGCAGGAACTAGCCCACAGGTACTAAGCTAATCTATTTTGCTTATCTTCATGGCTTTGTTTGTTTGTATATTTGCATAGAGAAGGGTAAATCTTCAGCTGAGCAGAAAGAGTGAGAAGCCATAATGGATGGAACACAACTTGCGTGTGTCAAGCTCCTTTTGATTTATCATATAGTAGTGAAGTTTTCTGTTCAGGCTGCAGATCAACCTCCCCCTGTGAACGAAGACATGCAAACAGAAGCAACATCCAATGAATCTGGAAATACAACCATATCTAGAAGCATTGTAATGTCCACCATTTCAGATAAAGAAGCAGTTAATACAACCACAGTGCAGAATATAAATGCCAGTTGGAATACAATTACTGTGCCAGCAAAGATAACTAGTTCATTGGCTTTAACAACTTTGTCACATTTTGTACGAAGCACTCTACATCCCCCCAACACAGACAATAGCAGCCCTTCAGATATTGCTATTAGATTCAACACTGTTGTGACATCACCTACAGTTTCAACCTTTAATCAAGCAACTGATAAAGATTCTAATCCCAGAATGTCCTCAGTCACATTGAAACCAACAGCTCAGTCTTCTACGGCCACACAACTACATACTAGCAAAGCTTTGGATTCAGTTCCTATAACACAGGCTTCAGGTAAGTGTCATTAGATTCTATGGCAGCATTTCCTAACCTGCGGTGTCAGACTAGTTCACTGTGTGCACCCAGCTGTTGGAAAGAAGCAACGGCATCAGGCATTGGGGTTCATCATGTACACACAACAAATGTGTCAACAAGTATCAGGTATTGGCTGCTTTCAGGGCACCAACATTCCTCGCCCCCCCCCCCCCCCCCCAGCTTACGTGTTCAGGGCCCCAGGCCCTGGGAACAGACCATCAGCTAAAGTTTCTCTTCTCTGTTCCCGTGAACTCAGTTCAGCTGCAAGAGCCATCATTGGATGCCCAAAAGTGTGTAACTTCTGTTGAGTGGAGGACTTGAGGAGAAGGAGTCTTTCTGGGAGGGGAAGGAAAAAAAATTTTAATGGAAAACCAAAGATTTGAAAATTACACAGAAAAGAAAAAATTCAAGATGAGAAGGTGGAAAGCAGAGACAGGAAAGGACAGAAACAAAGAGACATGCTGAGCCAAGTTGTCAAAGAGTATGAGAAAGAGGGCCACCCACGCCTTCTGAAAAGTAGGCACAGGTTGATGGAACAGGTATTGGGGATCTATGCTAGCAACATAACAAAGACAAATCATCACGTAAGCCAACATTTTAAAGTGTGGTGGCTTAACGTTAGATAACTATATCCTTTTTTAGGCCCTTACATCAAAATGACCTGATTTTCAGATGGCTCACGACCCACAATTCCTATTGCCTTCAGTGCAAGCTGCAGGTCCTCAACCCCTGTGAAAATCAGGTCATTTTAATTTAGGCACCTAAGTATGGATTTAGTTGACTAACTTTATGTACCCTGATTTTATAAATTTCGACCATGTGCTATATCTTTGATCTGCTGTCATATATTTACAGTAAACCTGGGAGGGTCAAACCCAAACTAAAACATTTACTTTGAAAATTCACCATAATAATAATAAAATAACCAGACTTTACTACAAGACTCATTTGAATAAACACAGCATCTTGGGTGTGTTGCTGTTAGGTTGCCCCATGGCAGCTTGGAGGTTAAGGCAGTTCAAATCTATTTTAGGGAGGTTTTTTAACAGAGCGGTTAGAATTTGAATCTGTCTCTTTAATACTTAGCACATGAAAACCTTCTGTAATGCCATACTGAAACCTAAAGATTGAGATTTGTTGTTTTTGTAGCTGTGAAATAAGAACAACTTTCTAAATGATTTTATTGAAACAGGAGGAATTCATCTAAGGAATTCAGAGGCCATTCTGATCATTATTTTCAGCAGCATCCTCACATTTGCTGTTCTAGCAATTGTCATATGCAGTCTTGATAAGTACAGGAAGAGAAGAGCTCAGTATTCCCATCACCCACTATATGACACCTCTTCTGAAACAGGTTGGCATATTTTTAATAAGATGTATCATATAAACAAACGTGCATTCTATATGTGCACATTACAAATTGTTTATTCAAGGCAACCACTCCCCCCAGTAATGAAAGGCAGCAACCCCTGAGGAAGAAGGTGGTAACTTTCTAACACTGTAAAACAGTGGTTCTCAACCTATTTACCACTGTGAGCACATATGCAGCTCTCTACGTGTTATGTGGACTTCATCCACACAATATACATACTATCTGTGTGGCCCTGAGGGTGTCACACGGGCCGCAGCTATGTGCTGATTGGGCTGCAAGCAGCCCATAGGCCACGGATTGAGAACCACTGGTGTAAAGTAATGCTACACAATGGTCTAAGTGCCAGATCTTCAGTGGTTGTAAAGCAGTATCGTTCCAAATATTTCAGTGGAAATACACCAATTTACACCTGCCGAAGATGTGACTTTTGGGCAGAAACTGAGAACTTACCATCTTTTCCAATTACAAGTGGGGGGAGGGATACCTCAGTGGTTTGAGCATTGGCCTGCTAAACCCAGGCTTGTGAGTTCAATCCTTGAGGGGGCCATTTAGGGATCTGGGGCAAAAATTGGGGATTGGCCCTGCTTTGAGCAGGGAGTTGGACTAGATGACCTCCTGAGGTCCCTTCCAACCCTGATATTCTATGATTCTATGAACTGTTGTCAACAATTAGGCAGGCAGGTTTTGAAACTGGAATTTGACCGAGAGTGTATATTATTATACTTAAAATTTATTTATGTGTTTGTTTTGTTTAAATGAAATTAATTATGTTAAATGAAATAGCAACAATGAAAAATCCTTAAACACGGAGGGCCAGATTTCAAAGGTATTTAGACACCTAATGTGCCTAGGGGCTTTAAAAAAACCCATCAGGCACGTATCTGCATCTTTAGATGCTGCTTAAAACAGCTAGCCAAATTCAGACTGGAACCACAATAAAAACAGGGCACTTTAGTTTTATTGCAAGATAAACTAGAGAGGTTAGCATTATACCCCCATCTGGCATTGACCTCACCTAGTTTATCTTGCAGTAAAACCAAAGTGCCCCATTTTTACTGTGTGTTTATATCTAGGTAGCTTCAGTTACCCCAAGGTAAAACAACTTTTTTAGCAGTAAAGACAAGGCCAAAGAATGCATGATACGCACACCCACCCAAAGTCAACTTTGGCACCAGTGCTTCCACAGCAGTAAACAATATTTGTCATTTATGAAAGCAAGAAAGCATATGGGTACCATGGGCCTTTTGTTACAGAATCTTGGCTTACATCCCTTGGAGCATATTTCATTTAATGGAAGGCTTACAGTTTCATAACTTTAAATGAAGTGGGAACTGAAAAGACAGCCAGTGACAGTTTTGACAAAAATCTGCTTGTTAATCTTGCCACAGTGTATAATTAGAGAGAATCTTCAGAGCTGCTGATGACATTGTAACAAGCCAAAGAATCCTTTGTACTGGCACACTATCCTACAAATAAATCTGGAAATCTTCCAAGATATTTATTTGTTTAGCTTACAATAGAGACGCATTAATGAGACAGTCCCCAGAACAAACTCTTTTTATCTCTAGTCCTTGTTTTGTATCATTGTTTTGTCTTTTACTGACTATAGCAGTGGTGACAAATGCAAATGAGACAACACCAGCAACTTATTTTTGGATAATAAATTTGGTAATTCATTTTATCAGAATTTTGCACTGGTAATTAGGGTCACTTACTGAAAACAAGTAATTATTTAGTATCTGGAGGTACACTGGGATTATCGTTTTCAAACTGTGCCTATCTCTAGTTGGTGAGATGCTTTAGAGATCAGATTCTGAAAGGCTATATCCTCCCAAGAACTGGTTAGGTGGATTATCTTCACAAAATAAAATGTAGTATAACAAATGTATAATGTGTATGTACTTCAGGTATAAATTAGCTGAGTTAAAGGAGGTGAATCACAAATATGCCTAATAAATTGATGTCAACAGAATCACTAATATAAATTTGAATTAAAAAGCCATTGACAGAGAATCATCCAAATATTTCTTTGTATGGCTGATACATACAAGCATTGGGAAAACGACAGCTAGAAATATGCTTGTGCTGATTATACTTCTTGCAGATAATAGTAGAATATAATTTTCTTGAATTGAATGGGACTGGACAGATAACACGGATCTGGGATAACCAAGCATTTAGTCTAAAAACTTAAATAAAAATGCACAGGAAAATGCATCAATGCTTCAATAGTTAAATGCTTCAGTATTATAAATTATAACCTTTAAAAATATTCTATTTTCCTGACTAAATGGATACAAATAAACCCGCATTTCCATGTAATAACAGTAATATTTTTGTACTTACTATAACATCTTTCATGGACTATTGAAAGGGCAACTGGCTGGCAATTAAGGATTCAATAAAATCCTGTATTAAATTGACACATCTGGGTGGTCTCTCACTCAGGTCTTGACTGAGAAAATATTCCCTGTTAAAACATGTGAAGATTTGTCAAAGTACTTCTACATTTATCATACCCCCTCTTTTTTAATACCACTCACCCAAAACAACCTGGCATTCTTTCAGTGTTTTCTGGTACTTCTATTACTTCTTTTATTAAAGGTTATTTTATTAATATTCTGATCAGCTTAACAGTTTGTTAGAAACAGATAATTTCTATCACTTTACTACCTGAAGAATGTACAAACCAAAACACAGATTATAAAGAAGTAGATTAGCCAATTTTTCATTTGCTATTTTTCATTTGCCTCCTATGCTATTTGGATTAGTGCCTGGGACAATGACGCTTTTTTATGTTTCCATTTTTACTTTAACATATACAGTCAATCCACATATACACAAAATAGTAGTTCAAGGTGAATACATGGATTTTAGGCCTTGTGATTTGCTTGAATATGCTACATTTCTCCCCAGAGTACTTTAATAATGCTTTCAATATTTTACAGCTGACATATACACTACTCCAGACGACACACTGATGATATCAGGAGGACTATATGATGCACCAAGGATTTATAACCCCAATATGACTGTATTGGACGATGATGAGCTTCAAGCTGAATACTTACCATTTGGCTCCAGACCTGGAAAATTCAGACTTGAAATTTTATCTGGTGAAAATGAAAAAGGACTTTCCCCAACCTTTGATAGATTTCAGCCACCACCACAACACTCATAATGTAGTAATAATGCCAGTAGTATAAAGCACTCTCTTTAATTCGTTGTAACATTTGTTTTTAAGTAGCATTTTATTACAATATTAATAATTATACTAGCTCTTAATCAATAGACCGTAATGCACTTCACAAAGGAGGCAAGTACTGTTATCCCCATTTTAATGATGGGGAAACAATCACAGAGAGGTGAAGTGACTCACCCAAGGTCACTTAGCAGGACTGTGGCAGAGCAGGAATAAGTCCCAGGTCTCCTGAGTCCCAGTCTACTGCTCCATACTCTGTGTATGCCACTCTTCCCCACAGCTTCAGTTTCATGCCCAATATACTGATTAATATAATGCTACTTGTATATGTTCGGTTATACATGCTCAGTTATACTGAAGATATAATTTATTTCTCATAGGAAGTCTCATTGCAACACTGGATTAAGCCTTTCAGCTAAGCAGGCAAGCATTCACATTCCTGGTATGCAGGGATATAGCAAAAACATGAAAATGATTAGTAAAGGTTAAACATGGATTTTAAATCTTAATCTTACTGCTGCAAAATTTTGAAATGCATGGATTTATAACTGGGTCATAAAAGAGACGGGCCAACCACTATTCTTCGTTCCCTAGCAAGCTCAGTGAGTAATTAAGGTTTACATTTTAAAATGGTCTCTGAATTTAGGTACCACTGTTGTTGAACAGAACAAAAATGGCAGCACTCAAAACTTGAAATTGACTGTTTTGAAATGAAATGGTAATTAATAGATACTTGGAGCCCTGGGTGAAATCTGGGCCTCATTAAAGTCAATGGCAAAACTAATAGGGCCAGGATTTCACATCTTATATTTAAGAGGGAGGAATTAATTTTTTGTTGCAAAGCAGCTACAGATGTATCAATAGTAATATCCATATCCATAGGTGGTTTTGACTGTCAACAAACTAAGTGATTGCAGGGGAATAGTTGATTTTGAGTCACAGCCCACATACATGGTTCTAAAAAAGTAATTAATGTATTTGGCAAAGGTTAACACAGAGAGTTTTACAGTATTTAGAGAGAATAGTCTCTGGTAAACTGCTGTTGTCTGTGTTATAAGAGGGTCTGTGCATTGCCTTCTAATATATCTGTTAAAAAATATACATACTGAAAAAAACTAGAATAGAACACAATATTCTGTGTTTGTGTCAAGTCACTACTTTCCTGTAAAAAAAAGAACCTGTCTACAAATGATCCTGACTACTCAGAAGCTGCGACACCCCCTATATTCCAGTCACAATATTCTGAAGATATTTTGTACATCTTTTAAATCCCCTCTGTTAAATGTTTATCTGCTTTAGCTATATGCACTGGAACAGTTATAATGACGTAAGCGTCATTGCTCAATAGCCAATATATCAGGACCAAAGTTTGTAGCTTAACTTCTAGACACAGAGTGAAATCATGATCCCAGTGAAGTCAATGGGAGTTTTGATTAACTGCAGACAACAGCAGCATCTTCCTTGCCACTCAGGCCCATGACCCATGTGTTGTATTTGATTCAAACCTGTCTCTAGGTCCTCACAACCAGGCTATGTCTAAAACTTGCAGATTCTTTCTGCATAATATCTCTAAGAGCAAGTCTACACTGGCAACGCTGAAGCGCTTCCACAGCAGTGCTTTAACGTGGCTTGTATGGGCACAGCACAGCGCTGGGAGAGAGCTCTCCCGCAGTGCTCTAAAAAATCACCTCCACGAGACCTGAGCGAGAAAGTTGCAACGCTGTAAATTGCCAGTGTAGAAAAGCCATAAGACACAGACTTTCCTATCCACCTTCAAGGCTAAAACTCTGGTCTCGGCTCTCATCATCTTCCATCACAATTATTGCAAGAGCCTTCTCTCTGGCCTTGCCCTGCTCATATGCATTCAGAATGCTTCTACCAATATCATTTTCCTAGCCCTTCACTTTCACCATGTCAACTCTCTCTTTGCATCCCTCCATTGGCTTCTCCTCCTCTACAGCATCAAAGAAAGGCTACTTATCTACACTTCACAGCCTATCACCACCCTACAAGGGAAGTGGCAAAGTCTACAGATGATACAAAATTACTCAAGATAGTGAAGTCCAAAGCTGACTGCAAAGAATTACAAAGGGATCTCATACGCCTGGGTGCCTGGACAACAAAATGGCAGATGAAATTCAGTGTTGATAAATGCAAATAAATGCACATTGGAAAACATAATCCTCACAAAAGCTTATGCTCAAATAAATTTGTTAGTCTCTAATGTGCCACAAGTACTCCTTTTCATAATCCCAAATATACATACAAAATGATGGGTTCTAAACTAGCTGTTACCACTCAAGAAAGACATCTTGGAGTCATTGTGGATAGTTTCCTGAAGCCATTTGTTTGATGTGCAGCAGTCAAAAAAGCTAACACTGTTAGGAATCATTAGGAAAGGGATAGATAGTAAGACAGAAAATATCAATGCCACAATATCATAATGCCACCCATACCTTAAATACTGCATGCAGTTCTGGTCATCCCATCTCAAAAAAGATATATTAGAATTGGGAAAAGTACAAAGAAGGGCAACAAAAATTATTAGGGGTATGGATCTGCCATCTGAGAAGAGACTCAAAAGACTGGGACTGTTCAGCTTGTAAAAGAGATGACTAAAGGAGGATATGATAGAAGTCTATAAAATCATGAATGGTATGCAGAAAGTGAATAAGGAAGTGTTATTTACTCCTTCACATAACACAAGAATCAAGGGTCAACACAAGAACCAGGCAACAGGTTTTAAAAAAACATAAAGAAGTACTTCTTCACACACTGCACAGTCAGTGTGTGGAACTTGTTACCAAGGGATGCTGTGAAGGCCAAAAGTACAGCTGGGTTCAAAAAAGAATTAGATAAATTCATGGAGGATAGGTTCATCAATGGTTATTAACCAAGATGTTCAGGAACTCAGCCCCATGCTCTGGGTGTCCCTAAACCTTTAATTGCTAGAAGCTAAGATTGGACAACAGGGGATGGATCACTCAGTCAACTGCTCTGCCTTGTTCACTCTCTCTGAAGCATCTGGCACTGGCCACTGTCAGAAGACAGAATACTGAGCTAAAATGGACCATTGGTGTGACCCAGTATGACGATTTTTACGTACTTATCTCTCATTCACTGTTGAGATATTGGTTCCTGCCTCTGATCAGCCTATGATACCAGCCTCCATACCACACTTGTTAAATTTTCAAACAAGCACCTCTATGCTTTCTCCCATTCTGCTCCTCAGTTGGGGGGGGAGCTCCCCATAAACATCCACAAAACTACTGAATTATCTTTTCAAGCCTTCCTTAAACTCCTCTTTTAGGCAATACAACCTCCCCCCCCCCCCCCCATGTACTCACCCGTTTGTTTGCTTTTCTCCATCTATTTCTTGTCTTATACTTAGAGTATAAACTATTTGCAGGCAGGGATCATCTTTTTGTTCTGTGTTTGCACACTGCCTGGCATAATGGAGTCCTAGTTCATGACTAATGATCCTAGGTGCTATCATAATACAAACAAACGAAAACTAATAGTAAGAATTTCTAGATACGAGTTAAATCCTGGTCCCAGTGAAGTCAATTGGAGTTTTGCAATTAACTTCTATGGGGCCAAGGTTTCATCCAAAGATTTTTAATTTTCCTTGATATTTGTGGATCTATTTATGTTCAGAGATCAAATTATTTGCCTTTTTTTCCTCTGAAGTTTTATTTTTAAGCTTCGAAGCCTCTGTACTATTTTTGGAGCAACTGAGATTAATCAAATACCAAAAAAAATATATTAAGTTACTCTGTGCAATTTTTGTAAAAAAAGGAAATTCTCATTAAATGAAGATGTTAGTCCTGACAAGAATAATTTGGATAATTCTCTGCTATCTGAATATGAGTAACATTTTTGCTTTAAGACCTGTTTGGTGCTAACTTGATTTGAACTTGGAGAGTGGTCAGTTTGGATGAGCTATTGCCAACAGGAGAGTGAGTTTGTGTGTGTGTGTGTGTGTCCCCGGGAAAAAAAGGGGGGGGGGTGAGAAAGCCTGGATTTGTGCTGGACATGGCCCACCTTGATTACCATGCACATTGTAGGGAGAGTGGTCACTTTGGATGAGCTATTACCAGCAGGAGAGTGAGTTTGTGTGTGTATGGGGGTGGGGGGGGTGAGAAAACCTGGATTTGTGCAGGAAATGGCCCAACTTGATGATCACTTTAGATAAGCTATTACCAGCAGGACAGTGGGGTGGGAGGAGGTATTGTTTCATGTTCTCTGTGTGTATATAAAGTCTGCTGCAGTTTCCACGGTATGCATCCGATGAAGTGAGCTGTAGCTCACGGAAGCTCATGCTCAAATAAATTGGTTCGTCTCTAAGGTGCCACAAGTACTTTTCTTTTTGCGAATACAGACTAACACGGCTGTTACTCTGAAACTTGACTACTGATGAGCTCTTCATTTTATGGATAGGCATTTAGCGTAACACTTTCTTGAACTTTTTTCAGATTAACCATTTAATGACATTTGGAAAGTGTGTTCACAGTAATCTGAAAGAACAAGTCTACATATAGCATTTATTATAAAACTAGATTCCTGAAAAGCAAAAGAAATAAGATTTAAATCAATATTGTTAGAAGTTCAACACTTAAATGTTTCAATACTGTTAGAAACTGAAAAACAGGCTACTGCCTCAACCAACTACTTTAAAAGAATATTTGTAAAGAACACATCAAAAGAACAAAAAAGAAGTAAATTCAAATATAAGTACTCAATTAAGTGAATGTAGTTCAACAATCTCAATAATAATAAAACAATACTCTAATGGATAAGATACTGCAAAAGTGAAAGTAAACTTTAAAAGAACAAAAACTGAAGTTATTTAAATGACTTCAAACAATTTTGCAACATATTTTTCCATTTTAACACACCATACATTATTTTTTCCTATCAATTTTCAAAACCTAAATGTGCCAAATTTATTCCCAGGTTTATGTTTTATGATGGTGTAAACTCAATGTGAAAAGTCCTCCAGAGGAGGAGGCTGTGGTGGAACAAAGGAACCACAATGAAATCAACAGGAGTTCCACAAACATAGCACTTCCAGGATTTAGCCCTAAACCAGTAATATGCTGCAAGTGTTAACTGTGTAGGATTAATACATTCTACTGTAAAAGATTTTAGATGAACAGAAAATGCATAACTGATTGCTCAGGTTTAATTTTAGGCAAAGAGTTTTTCAGCTTCTTTCATTTTTTTTTTCCTGTCCATTTTAGAAACTGCAGTCCATCCAGTCTCTCGCATCTTTCTCATAGCTGTAAGTTTCAGTGCAGCACCAGGAGACTTTATGATTGACAGAGTTGGTATCTAAGAACAAAAGTAAAACTATCCATTTATTTTTGTAACAAAATCTTTCAAGTATGTAGTTTGATCTGAAGTAAAGTTAAGAAGATACCTTTTTTGGTGTCATAACACATAAGCGAGAAGCTTGAGGACAATTTTTGTACAGCTTTTTAAACATTTCTTCCTCTGAGACTATGCTCTTAAATGAAAAAGAATGTTACATAGTCAAAAGACATCATAAACTATATGTTTTCTATGCTACCATATTTATTAACATTCCATCATGAAAAAAGAATGTTACAAAATTACTACAGATCCTGAAAGAAAAGGAGTACTTGTGGCACCTTAGAGACTAACCAATTTATTTGAGCATGAGCTTTCGTGAGCTACAGCTCACTTCATCGGATGCAAACCATGGAAACTGCAGAAGACATTATATACACACAGAGACCATGAAACAATACCTCCTCCCACCCCACTGTCCTGCTGGTAATAGCTTATCTAAAGTGATCATCAAGTTGGGCCATTTCCAGCACAAATCCAGGTTTTCTCACCCTCCGCCCCCCCCCCCCAAAAAAAAACTCACTCTCCTGCTGGTAATAGCCCATCCAAAGTGACCACTCTCTTCACAATGTGTATGATAATCAAGGTGGGCCATTTCCTGCACAAATCCAGGTTCTCTCACCCCCTCACCCCCCTCCAAAAACCACACACACGAACTCACTCTCCTGCTGGTAATAGCTTATCCAAAGTGACCACTCTCCCTACAATGTGCATGATAATCAAGGTGGGCCATTTTCAGCACAAATCCAGGTTTTCTCAACCCCCACCCCCATACACACACAAACTCACTCTCCTGCTGGTAATAGCTCATCCAAAGTGACCACTCTCCCTACAATGTGCATGGTAATCAAGGTGGGCCATTTCCAGCACAAATCCAGGCTCTCTCACCCCCCTCCCCCCGGAAACACACACACACACACACACAAAAACTCATTCTAAACACACACACACACACACACACACACACACACAAAAACTCATTCTCCTGCTGGCAATAGCTCATCCAAACTGACCACTCTCCAAGTTTAAATCCAAGTTTAACCAGAACGTCGGGGGGAGGGGGGGGAGAGGGTAGAAAAAAACAAGGGGAAATAGGCTACCTTGCATAATGACTTAGCCACTCCCAGTCTCTATTTAAGCCTAAATTAATAGTATCCAATTTGCAAATGAATTCCAATTCAGCAGTTTCTCGCTGGAGTCTGGATTTGAAGTTTTTTTGTTTTAAGATAGCGACCTTCATGTCTGTGATTGCGTGACCAGAGAGATTGAAGTGTTCTCCGACTGGTTTATGAATGTTATAATTCTTGACATCTGATTTGTGTCCATTTATTCTTTTACGTAGAGATTGTCCAGTTTGACCAATGTACATGGCAGAGACATGTTTTATGGTCTCTGTGTGTATATAATGTCTTCTGCAGTTTCCATGGTATGCATCCGATGAAGTGAGCTGTAGCTCACGAAAGCTCATGCTCAAATAAATTGGTTAGTCTCTAAGGTGCCACAAGTACTCCTTTTCTTTTTGCGAATACAGACTAACACGGCTGTTACTCTGATACAGATCCTGATGAATTCAACAACATTCAGTCAAATTCCAGAGATATTAGAATTTAGTGCAATTGAAACGATTAACTGAATATATAATAATGTTTCTGTAGACGTGCCCTGATCATGTTCTAGAATTATGTACACATAAACGAACAATCTGAGTTACTTCTTAAATATACACATACCCCACATACATATTTTTATTTTGTACAGTATATGATATCTCTGAAAGGTAGACACACATTCTGAGATACGGCAAAGAATGTACACAGAATAAACAGTGATAGGCGCTATTCATTTTGAAATTTTTACCAGGAGGTCATTGTGTTCTGAGCTATCTGAGTGAGTATCCAGCTCTAAAACTACTTTTCTTTTTTTCTTCATGTCTTCTTCTGAAAGTGGATTCATGCTTTCTCTTTGCAATTTATATTTTGGAGGAGTCTTCACAGTATATGTCTGGGGGGGAAAAAACCCCAAAATATTTAAGATTATGTTGTTACACTAATTTCATAAATAGAGGACCAAATCTAGAGCAGAGTACAGAGTCTGAGTTGTATCGTGATCTGTGGAATTGGAGTCAGAGGGCCCATGTTTTCATGGTCTCTCCTCCATAACAGGTACTCCTGTAAGGACAAAGACATTAGTGAGACAGAGTGGACTCAAGGAGTCGTGAGAGCCACAGTGGCACAAAGTGATCTGAAGAACAAGAGCCATCTATGAACCAGGAGACAACACCCAGAGCGAGCATACAGAAATACACAAATTATCACATAATGACAGAGTACCATCCGGAGGCCACACCAAGAGGGCAGAGACTCGAAAGAGAGAGCGAGTTTGCTAGACTTGATAGCAGGGAGACAGAGACAGGTCACTTCTGGTGTGGTTGCCCCTTGAGGAGGCCAAACTATCTCAAAGACTATGCAACCAGAAGATTCTGTGGTAAAGACAAGACTTCAACTCAACTATGTGCTAGCAACCTCTGGTCCAGGGGATACAGGATAGGGGTCTGGGTATCAATTATTTGTTTTTTAATGATTATATTAAAAATTAATCATAATAAGTGGAACTGGAGTCAGAGGGCCCATGTTCCCTGCAGGGATTGTTATGGAGGGGATACCAGGAAAACAGGGAATGAGAGGAGTTGGGCTGGAAGCAATGAGGTCACATGGACAAACCAGTGCTTAGGGTTTAATAAAGTTCCACTTGTTCAACTTAACCTGCATCATGGGTGGCGGCTATCGCAGGCCAAGGGAGGCTGAGCCTCCCGAAACAGCCCTGCATGGTGGTCCCACCCATGCTCTGCCCCCAGTCCCCCTCCTGCTGGCACTCTTCCCCCATGGCTGG